GACTTTGATACGACTGTAACACCAGATTCAAAAATCTTCCTGGCTGTGCTAATGAGCAAATAAAAACCTCAACACAAATAAAATCACAATTTTTCATGTGAGAGCACAAATATTTGCATTTAAATTGGGACTTGCTGTCTCTAAGCAAAACATCATGAAGTCTTTTTAATAGCCTGCAAAGAAGTGTCATTAGTTACACAATGTATTTTGTATACTGTATAATGTTTAGCATATCAGTTGCTCTATGGGACATCAAGTGTTTAAGGGGATCTAATTTCTTCATTTTATTTTTCTTTAACTTATTTTATTTATTTAATTATTTATATAGCAGCAACTCAAAGCAACAGTTGCATTGGGGTGCTTTACGTTGTAAGGTTAAGATCCTACAGAAGATCCATATGGGCAAGCACTTGGAGACAGCGAGAAGGAAGAACTCCCTTTAAACAGGATTAAAACTCAGGCTCAGGGAGGGGGAGGGGCAGCCATCTGCTCCAACCAGTTACATTGAAGAAAAGGGATGAAGAAGGAGAGCACAGAGAGGCAAGAACAAACACAAACTAATGCATCAGTACTTCAATATTCTGGATCAACTAGAGGGTGTTTAGCGAGCTTTTAGAACAGCCTGAAAATAAGGAAACAAAAAGTAGAAGAAATGGGTGGACTAGCTTTTCAGCATCACTCTGAGCCAAGATGTTTCTAATCTTAGAGATACTGCACAGATAAAAGAACACAGTCCTACATACCTGTTTATATGCACATTGTTGGGCATATCCTGATTAAAAATGACTCCAAGATTCCTCACAGCATTACTGGAGGCTGAGGTAATGCCATCCAGAGTAAGTATCTGGTTAGACATCATTAAATTTTTAGGGCAGAGTAGAATAACCTCAGTTTTGTCAGAATTTAGAAGCAGGGATTTCGAGGTAATCCAGGCCTTTGTATCTTTAAGACATTCCTGTAGTTTAACTAATTAATTTGTGTCACCTGGATAGCAATAAAAATTTAAGCAGCATTTCCTAATGATATTGTCTAAACAAAGCATGTATAATGTTAAAAAAAAAGAGGTGCCAGCACAGAACCCTGACTCCATGTTTACATGAGCAAACAGGAATCTATCAGATAGGTCTGATTCAAACCGTATACCAGCAGTGTACTCTAGTTACTGTTGTAAAATGATGTGATCGACAGTGTTTGATAAGGTTTGATGTCTATACATAACAAAATTTAAGTACTACAGTGGTCCCTCGTTTATCGCGGGAGTTACGTTCGAAAAATAACCCGACAAGCACCAACATTTTCACATTTTTCTCTCTTGTTTAAACTCTCAAAGTTCAAACCTTTGTAGAAAAATAAGTCCAGCTTTATAGAATGAAACCAAAGGCCCCACATTAGCCTTTGATGGTGCAAAATGTTTAATCGACATTGTTGTGTTTGTTGGGGAGAAACCTCACAAGCATATGTACAGCACTTCAGAGTCACACTGCTAGCGATTGAAGATTTATGTAAATTTGATAAGCTGAACTCATTCTGTACTGTACAGGAGACACAGCACGGAGGAGATTGATTGACAGTGGTCTACAGCCAATCACAACGCAGAACACAATGCACTTCCCAAAAAAACCAAAAAAAAGCATGCAAAATTGCACAAAAAAAAGTGAAACAGCAAGGCCGCGAACGGTGAACTGCGTTATAGTGAGGGACCAACGTAACCGCTTTACACCGTTTAGCAGGAAGACATATCATTGACCTGTCAATCAGAAATCATCAGCCAATGGGTGCATGGTGTTTATAGTCAGATCCACCTTTCCTGTTTACCACAGTGTTTTTGCAACCATTATAGTGACAAAGAAATGTTCATCTCGAGGCTTCAAAGCAGGATGTCTCATTTTTTACGTCCTTCTTTTGTAGTGTTTTAAATTGATGTAGCCTTCTTTGTTATCGGCTGATAAAAAAGAAGCCTGATTATCAAGTACAAAAGAGAAAAAAATCCCACTCCTCAATTGATCTCTTCAATGAATGCTTGTTTAAAACCTTGTTTTATACAACATGTCATTCATGTTATAAATTGTTGATACACTTTAGGTTGCAGTCAAAGTGGTTAGATCGAGGCTGTATCGCAGTAGTTCTCAAAACAGTGCGTGATGTCATGCTGCCAGGTCCATCATTTATGTACAGTCTATGATTTAATAGTGATTTGATATTATTTTTCTTTTACTGGTTTTAAAAAAATGCCATGTTACTCTGTTTATGTCTTTCAGAAAAAAAGACGAGGGTAGTAAAAGTAATGAAAATAAACTGATTTTTATTTCAGCTATTAGGACATACCAGTTCACAACACATCTTCCGTAACATTGTGTTTGCAAACACAAAACGTATGTGCCTTTAACTTCTCTAAGGAGGGAAGTGCAGGTAGCAGCAAGGAGAGAAAGAGATGGAAAGCAGGACAAAAAAGGAATTCCTCCTCAATGATCGCGTGAAAGAGCATTGTAGTTTTTCACCATTACAGCATGTTGCACACCCACACTGCATCCCTTGGTGTTTACAACAACCTTGTGCAGAAGAAGTAGAAAATACAATGCAAAACAAAAGAGGGAGGAAGTACAAAAGGAAGATGGAAGATAAGGTAAAAAGGTTTAACGCTTAGAACAAATTATTTACATTTCAACAGGCAGCTAGAAGCAAATACAAGCTAGCGTTGACTAGTGTTTTGCTTGCATCCATTGCCGTGGGTCGGGAGTGGCACAGGGAGGCAGGGAAGTCCACATGAGGAGGGGGGAGGAGTCAGGAGGAGACT